ATGGGAGATCGCTTCCTAGTTTCCCTTCCCACTTGCCCTTGGAATGAAGTACCCCTGGGCTGTGCAAGACAGGATGGCATTGCTGCCTGACAGCAGAGCTACTGCAGGTCTTGCAGGGCAGGAGTGTATAGGCTGCCAGATGCTGAGCTAACTTCAGAGACTTAACTGCTCCATGCAGGGCTCTGGATCTTTTACTAGGGGCATCGAAGACCACTAGCCCATCGCATCAAATCTTCTGCTTTTGCCATTACCTTGTTCTTCAGGGAAAAATATGGCATCTCTGAAGTACCTAATGTGCTTGGCCATTAATAAGATACACGATCAGGGTGGAGGGAGCTTTCCTTTCTGATGCCTGGGAGTAATAGAATTGGGCCCTGAAGCTGATAACAGGATGTGCCTATTGGTCCTAGCAGGTATCACTGCAGACACTGGGAGGTGCTGGGAGTCTCCCCTGAGACATTCATGCCGTAACAGAACAGGCCCAGTATTTTTGGCTGTACTCCCAAGCAGCACCGTACCTAGGCTCCTGGTGGCCCCGGGCAAACTTTTAGTATTGGGCCCCCCTTCACTAGAGATAATAATAATAATAATAATAATTTTTTAATTACCATTTTCGGGCTTCCTTTCTGTCCAGGCCCCAGATGGCTGCCCAGTTCACCCATACTTGTATCTGAGCCAGTTCCCAAGGACTCCTATTCGCAGGGGTTCTTCACCATCAAATCTTCTTTTAAATAGCAGCTCCCTGTTTGAGATCCAGCAAATCCCAGGGCCAGCAAGATTTCCCTAGAAACAGAGCCTGCATTCATGCTTGGGGGTCTGTAGGGGGCACGAAATGGGCTGTAGTGTCGGGGCTACTACCTGAAGAACATTGCACCTTCCTGGTGCCACAGGAGCTGTTTTCAGATGAATCCTCAAGCTCCGAGACCTGGAAAAGCTGGAATTGGAGTAAGGCAGGGGTGACAGTAGGGGAGGGCCTCCACTGTTTTGTGCTGGGGAGGGCCTGTGCTACCCTGAGTTCCCATACTCAGCTCTCAGACATACGAAACTGGCTTTGGATGAGCCCATTGCATTGCAACTCCGCCTCTGCTCAGTGAAGCACACCAATCCCCACCCTCTGAGCAGGCCCAGATGCACACCCATATTTGCAGGGCAGTATATGCACCTCCCTACTTGTCAGCAGGCCCTGGCTGATGTTACAGAGCAGCTGGACACTCTCTCACTGGTCCTTGCCTCCGTCTCTTCTTCTCTAGGCTTATGTTCCCTTGCAAAGGGCAGCTCAGGGCAGTATGTCCAGCCACAACCAAGTCGGGTGGCAAACCAGCTGCCACGTCTTTTTGCCCCACACATATGGGAGGAGAGGCCAGGATGGTGTCCCTGAGGGAAACTCAGTGGCTGCAAATGAATCTACTGCTAATCCACAGGCTGGGAGGCTGGGCAGAAATGCTGAGCTGTTGCTTGGGAATGGGTTCTGAGCTGGAGAGCAGCGTCAGAGTGCGTCGACCAAAGCTTAATTGCTCCATTAAACTGGAGGTTGTTCTTGCTGTCAGTTGCACGTCAAGGATTTGAGGTCCAAGGAAAGCAGGCTGAGGATACAACTTGTATCAAAGAGTCTATTCAAAGTAATGAGAGGCAGTTCTGTGTTGTGATGAGAGCAAGGGTCTGGAATCCAGGGCTGTTAGGTTTTATCCCTTGCTCTGGGAGGAGAAAGAAGAGATCTAGAGGGTTAGTGCAGAGGGGCTGGGAGTCAGGACTCCCGGGTTCCATCTCCAGTGGTGAGGAAGGAGTGGGGTCTAGTGGGTCAGAGCAGGGGCAAGGGAAGGCAAATTCTGGGAGAGGCCTGGCAGATCACTGCAGCTGCAAACATGCAAGTGGAGCATCGTGTTTGTCTCATGCAGCGGTGTCACATACAATAGTGTTATTACTTAGTCTTGAATCAAAGCGCCTCAAGTTCCCAGAGGAAGGGCTGAGACACTAACATTCCTTCCTCCCAGCATGCAAGCACTGTCAAGAAAAGTTTAGGAGGCAGTTCCCTCACCCCAGAACATTACACCAAGAGCAGATCCCTGGCCCAGGAAATGAAAAGAAAGGCGTGGAGCTATGGAAGGGGATATGTTGTGCTTATTGCATTGGATAAGGGGATGAGTGTAACTGAAGCAGGGCTGACAAGGACAGCAGCCCTGGGTGTTGCTTTTGGTGGGGGGAGCACAAAAATAGCTCCTTTTGCAACTGGATGGCTGGATGCACCACTACCACTGGCAGTGCAGCAGCTGGCACTGCCCCATGCACCGGCACTGCTCCATGCACCATCACTGCCCAGAGCTGCTCTGCTGCATATCTGGATAAAGATTTGGGTGAGTTTGGCTGTGCCCTCAGCCCTGCCACTGACTCCCTGTGTGCTTTTGGCATGTCACTAACTCAATTCCCCATTAGCTTATGCAGCAATAACAGGGCTCCTTTTTCAGGCTTGCCCATTCTGATTGTGAGTCCTTTCAGGCTGGAAATGCCTGTTGCTCTGTAGTTGTGCTGCATGTGGCATGATGAGCCAGAGCTCTCTGTGGTACTGTAACCACAGAAGGGAAATGCAGTGGCTAGAACGGATATAGCACCTTGCTGCAGCTGCTAGACTACTGTGCTGGATCCTTGGTATCTGGTGGGTGTTGTCAAGCTAGTGGCTGGTTTCTCCTTCCGAACTATTTCCTTGCCCCTCCTGGGGGGGTGTGCAGTTTTGAAGCCACTCACTGCCCTTATTACATAAGGTCTTAAATACTGAGGTGATGAGTGCGATCTAAATCCTGATATACATCTTCCCTGCTAGCTAACATGGGAGGGCAGTAGCCCCTGGTGGGTGGGAATAATGGGGTACAGAGTGCAATTTATCTCAGTGTAAAGGGTCCAGCACAAGGTTTATGCCCTATTTAAGTATATGTGAACTCTCCTGGCCTTATGCCTTGTGTTCTGGGTAGATGGTGAACTGTGCCCAAGTGCCTGGCTGGCTGCAGCGCAAGCAGGAGAGGTCAGATCATTGGACTGAACAGATGACCACACAAAGCTGGAAGCATCGGCAGTCCCTGTACAGTACACATAGGAAAGGAGGGAACAGAGTCCTGGACACCAGGAATCCAGTTCATAAGACAAAGGCACACTGGGGAAGCATCCAGGCAGCTGCTGTGTGGGGAGATGGTCAGAAGTTGTGGAGCCTCCTGGGCTAGGTAGTGGGTGCATTAGAGGTTGCTCCTGCCCCAGCAGGAGGTGAGGGGAGAAGGGAACTATTTTCTCTTAAGCCAATATAGGGAGGTAGCGTCCCCCCTGTGACTTATGAAGGAGTCCAGAAATGGTGGGGTGTAACTGAGCTGAGCAGAGCAACATTGATCCCTCACGGCCTGGTGTGTCCTGGTCTGGGCCTCTAAGGATACGTCTATGCTGCATCCCCCACACTCTTAGGGAGGGGGACACCAGCCAACTCACTCCTGCTCATGTGTGCCAAACCTGGCTGTGAGTCACTGGCCTTGGTCTGCAGCATGTGAGAGAGAGGCTATGTGGCATGTCCCAGAGGAGCCCCCTGCTGCATACCTGGGATGGGCATGTTTGAATAGGAGCAGGTGGGGAAGGCATGCTTGAGTGTGCCCCTTCCCTGAGAGTCCCCAAGACACACCCTGTGCCCCCTCAGTGCTGCTGGATGCCTGGAGCTGGGCAGCCCACATTTCCCAATTTTCTTCCAGACAGTTCTTATACAGGGAGCCTGCATCCACTCGGACCTGGCTGGGCATGCATGGAGGCACAAGGGGCTTCACTGGCATAGACCTACCAACTTCTTTTTGGGAGCAGGTCTGGCTTTGACAATTGTGCAGGGCAGCAGCTCCCACATACACACACAAGGATTACAAATCTTGTGAGGGCACACAAAGATCACAGCCCTTACTCTGACTTGAACAAGCAGCCACTGAGGGACAAAGGGGCTGCCTGTGTGCTGCAATGTAGGAAAACTGGTTTCACGTGCAGCCAAAGAAATGAAATGTCAGGTGGATTTCTGGTCTGGCCTACGTTCCTGTCCTTGTGGACAAGGATGCTGTTTTTTACTGGGGCTCCAACACTGAACCTTTTTCATTTTATTTCCCGTTCTGTTTCTGTTGCTGTCAGGCAGTAGTAGCTACCCTGCCCTGTGGCTAACACAGGCCTAGCTCTGATATGTCTGTGCAGGCCACAGGCGATTCTCCTTCCACTGCCCAACCCTGTTAAAGCAGAGCACTGCTTGCCTCCTGCAACAGTTCTTATTGGCTGCTCCATCCCAAGAGCGGGGGGGGCAGGGGAAAGGCAGCCAATCACAAGGGGATTCCCCTGGTCAGGGTTGGATGGGCTGGGATGGACCAGCCAGTGCATTGAGAATGAACATAGGAGCAAGGAGAGCCATAATTTCAGTCCCTGTAGGTACTGGACAGGACTATCACTGATTATTCTCCCCCTGGCACAAGAAGGGAGCTTAGGGAAGAATTGCACACAGTACCTCCTGTTGCTTGGTCTGAAGCAATGCATCCGCATGTTGCTGGTCAACAGTGCAGTAGAATGGCCTTCAGCAGCTGGGCTGCACAGGGAAAGCCCTGCAGTGTCCTTTGCCTGTTTGCCTTTTCACATCAATGTGGCTGCCCAGGCCTTCTCAAGACATTCCTAGGGGAAAGCAGCAGAATAATAGCAAGACTATATCCCATGTAAAGAAACCAAAGTGAAAAATGATAGCAGCAGCCCCAGCATCCTCAGACTTGTTCAGACCCCATGGTCCATCTAGCTCATTATCCAGTCCCTGACAATATCGAAAACCAGATAACTGCAGAAGAAGATCCTAGAGCTCCCCTTGTGGACAGTTATGGAATAACCTGCTCACTGAGAATATTTCTTCCTGACCTATGTTAGTGAGAAGTTGACTCATGCCCTGAAGCATGAGTCTTAGATCTCTTCCAGATTGGTGGTTTGATTCTTTTTCCATCTTCCCTCCCTCCCTCCTACAGGACTGTGAACAGTCATTTTCCATACAAGCAGCCAGACCTTTTTGGAATCCTGTTCAGCCACACAGAGCTGGGATAGTGCTGCAAAAAACAAAAGGCCGATTTAGAAAGAGATTGTTCTGGGTAAGTACAGGGGTTCTCAGCCCTGTTGGTTCCCAAGAGCTCTCCTTCTAATCCCTTCTGATGGATTTCTCACATTAAGCCCATAACATAGTTTTCCTGATATGTTCTTACCTATGCACAGTTGTTTTGTACCATGTCTCTCTCGCCAGGATTTCTCATTGCTTTTGAGAGGCAGTGTAGTCTAGTGGGGATAGCATGGGGCTGGGCAGTAGGAGATCTGGGCTCTTTTCTCAGCTTTGCCACTGCCACTGATCACTGGGTGATCTTGGGCATATCACTTTTCCTCTGCCTTGTCTGTTTAGAATAGAAGTTCTGTGGAGCTGGGACTATGTCTCAATATGGCTGTAAATCATATGGCACAATGGGCCTCTGGACACGTTTGAAGTCCAAATAATTAACGGTTGGTAAAGTTTCCTTTTTCCCTTTCCCTAAAACCCTTTTTCCTGTGGAGTATGCTCAGTTTAAGTGAGAAAGCAATGCCTCATCCTGCCTGGTCCTTTGATTAGCCCCACACTTCTCTGAGAGCTGAAGCTGCCCCACACCTCCCAGAGTTGCCGCTTTTAATGCTCACCATCCCACCCATCTGAATTCTGACCAAAGAGGTGTGAGCCAGTTTGGGGACAGGGTGAGCCAAGGGCTCAGGCACCAAGTGGTACTCAGGATGCCTGGCTCCTACGCCATGCAAGAGGCCTCAGTGCACAGTTCTGTGCTCTGGGCAGTCATGCGACGCCCAGGGATGTGCCATCTGCTGCAGTGCCTATCACAGCAGTGTAATCAGCCACCAGCATGGTTGTGCTTATTTTTGTGGCCTCTCAAGGGCAGTGCCCAGGGCTGCTGCCCTGGTTGCCGCCTTCTAGTTACACTACTGCTCTAGGCTCAGCCTGGTATGTACCCTTCCCCTCTCTCTCCCCATCCCTCAAATGGAGTTTCTTCTCTTGTTAAGCTCTAGGGATGAAAATCACCATAGAAGACCTTAGTCTCAACTGTGTCTGTGTAGAAAATAACCCTGTTTCTAACCTGGCCGTGCCTGCAGCACTCTGCTCATAGCTCTGTAGACAGCTGAACAGCTCCTTTTTACCTCGCTTGTCTTTTTGTTTACATGGGACTGTTTGGCTCAGATGCGCTGCAGGATGCCAAGATCTTGTGTGCCCCTCTCATGCGCAGCAGGGGCAGGCGGGGAGGGAAAAAAAGCTCTGTATTGTCTCTATTCCAGGCTGCCAACACTTTTCTGGGACACTGTGTTAAAATGTGAAGAAATGTCTTCTTCTGGAAGTTAGGGCATGTATAGATACACACAGCTAAGTATGTCTGTGTGGTTGTGTGCACTGTATTCAATGTGGCATATATATTCCTTGCTTGTAGAACACATGTATAAGCTAGCACCCAGAGGAGATTGATATCAGAGTGTGGATGGACAGACATGGCATGCAAAGGTGCTTCCCAAGAGCCTCTATATTGATTACTCTCCTTCAGCTTCTGATTCCTGATTCTTACTATGACTGATTCAAAGCAGCATGTCCTCAATTTGCCTCTTGAAGCATTCACAGGCCTTGCGTGTATGTATCACAGGTTAGATCTGCCTTTGGAGTGCTACTATGGTTTAATCCCCAAACTGCAAATGTAATGTTTTTGAATGTATATTCCTGACCCTGCCTCCCATGCTGGTGCTCCTTCCTGATTGGCTACAAGGGAGCTTACAAAAGACACAATGCTATTGCAGCTGGTTGTGTAGGGTTGCACCTGTGGACAAATTCATCTGGGAGGCAAGTGTTGCACAGAAGGGTGGCTTCTGGGAATTTGTGAAATCACCTCCTTGCAGCATGGCTGGCCTCCTAACGTGTGTGTGGAGTACTGAGCACATGCAGCAGTACAAAGAGAATCTCTTGTTGTTTGCCCTAGGCAGACTAAGGGTTTGCTAGAGGACCCCAAGAGGGTCTCTTGTAATCCTCATTTCCAAATAGCTTGCATGCGGTACAGATCTGTTTGTGGTTGTGTGCAATGTATGGGAAAGAAATGGTAACTTCTGCTGTAAAAATTGCTATGATGCAGGCTTGTCTACAGAGGCCATGACTAGCCTGGTCTCCCTCAGTGAGCTCTGGCTGTTCCTGGGATTAGACAGGCTGTCCATTAATTGCTACACAGCCAATCTGAGCATGGATAATTCTAAAATAAGCCAGTTGTTAAGTATAGTAATAAGGGCTTTAATAGCTGAGCAGTCTTTCAAAGAAAAGGCCACCACTTTGGAAGCCTCCCACTGGGTTCAGTCAGCTGGCAAGAGGCCAGCACTCTGTGGGGCAACATTTCCAAAAGTGACCTAATGGGTTTAGGATCTTAAGTGCCATTGATTGTTCAAGGGAAAATGTTGCCCCCAGACTCAACCATGCCACTGCCATCAGGACCTCAGTGTGAAAAAAGCCTGTTTCAGTGCTGGTTGTCAGATGAGGGCCAGGATATCAGTGCTGCTTTTCTTGCCAGGTGGAAATGAGACTTTCCGCAGCTTGGATTGCAAGACTGAGATCAAGGTAAACTGGAGGAAAAAGAACCAAATAGCTCAGGTTAGGTTAATTATAAAGCCATATAAACCAGTGAAAGGCTGTGTGTGCAGCCACTTTTTGTGTTTCCACATGCGAACATGAAATGTGTGCATATGATCATGCTTTGAACACGGATGTGACAAATCTCCCCCTCCATTTCTGACCCCTCCCTCCACTGCCACCTCTCAGCTGACTGTCCCTGCTCTCACTGACTGTCCCTGTCAGTCACTTCTGATCCGCCTGGGTCTCAGCCATTTCCCCCACAACCTGTCATAGGACAAGCCCGTCATCTCTGCCAGTCAGGCCTGTATCTCCCAGTACTCCAGCTCTGTCTCAGGCACTGTGTCCAACATGAGGTTTCTAAGATCCAGCCTTCTTGTTACACCAGATGGCCAGCACTCTGGTCTGGATGACTGCCCCTTGCAGGCCATCTGCTGTGCTCTGACCACATCACTCCCTCTGTGGTTCCTTCCATCTTGCACTATGCAGCCTTGCCTTTCCCTGTTACTCACTCCTACCCCCCACCCTATTTTTCCCCCTCTTCTGCCAACGTTACCAGCCTCCCCTGCTTGTCTGCTCTCTCATGAGAGCCTTTGTGCTTTTTTCCAATTACTAACCCATAAACAAAGGGGCTGATTTCCAAAGACCTTTGGGCACTCACCTGCCCCTGAAAGGCAGTGAGAGTTGGCATCTGACTCCTATTTCTAGCTTTGGATATTTCGTCCAGAATGCAGTTGCTGAACAGATGATGTGTAAAGTCCCACTTCTTAGTGCCTCCCGATCTCTTCCCAGAACTTCCCTCCCCTCAAACAGGATCACCCTGGAAAATCAGCCCCTATTCCAAGACAAGGCCAAAGGTAGTCAACCACAGCTTTTATGGAGCTTTGGCGTTTTAGTGGACAAAATAACGTTTTGTGAACAAAACATTGAAATGGATTTATGTTTCTTATTGCAATATTTGAATATACATAAGCTCCACTTCTTTGCAACAGACACTGATCCTAGGATCTTATCCTGCTTCTGAGTGTCTTTCAAGTAAAATCAATCAAAAAAAAATTCTAGATGGAGACTTGCATCTCCTTCTTTTGAGGTTTTTTCTGGTTTGGCCTGGGCCCACTGAATGATCATTTGTGTGCAGATTCTGCAGTGCAAAATCAATTCTTAGATCAATTTCCAGTGCACAGACTCTTTCTGTCTGTGCATTGCAGCCCATATACAGTGTCCAAGCTTGTGGCATTTATAATGTTGGCTAAGAGAACAGTGGCAATCCTACACTCCTGTGAGTTGCTCTTTCAGAGCTCGTGGTAGTTACAGGCAGCTCTAGAAATGCTAGGCAAACACGGGCAGGACTGACAAGCCACCACTGATTTTAGAAATTAGGCAATTTTAAAAAAATGTTGTCTTTTTTTTGCTCTTTCATTTTGGTTTCAAGCCTCTTACTGCTACCAGGAGGGGTAAGAACATTTTTGTAATGAAAGAGATTGTGCCACAATCGCATGAATCTGACAGCTCAGGGTTGAAGAAAAACCCCTTCAAATATTAGGTTGTGTGAGTTGGCAGCACTGTGTAAGCCAGTGTATTCACAGCAGGGTCTCTCAAGTTAGATATGAAAGTGAAGCTGTATTGAAATACCATGGGACTTTGGCTACTAAGGTAACATAGGTGTTTCCAAAAGTTTCCTCCTTAGATCCAGCAGTGTCTAAAAACGCAAGACAGACAAATGCCCTGGTTGTCAGAGGTGACCATCTGTCAGTTAGTCTCAGTGGGAACTGGGGTTGTTCAGCATGCTTGGGAATAGGGCTTTTTATGTGCATGACTAAATACAGATTTTGGAACCCAGATTCTGGGGAAAAAATGTATTCAGATCCTTCCTTCTAGGAAACGTGTGTAATGGCAAAAGCAGTGGCGGGGAGTTCCCACTCCTGGCAGTGGGAGGGGAGTGTGGCCTAGATGAGGTGACTCCGTAAGAGCTCTGGCTCCGGGTACCCTGGGGATTGCTGTCCAGTAGTAGAGTTAGCACCAGGAGTCAGGATTCCTTACTTCTTGTAGTTCCATCACACCTCTGTTTTCTCTTTTGTAAAAAGGGTAGAAACGCCTTCTCCTACTTTGCCAGGGGGCTGGGAGGCTTACCTGGAGCTGTCAAAACTTTTCTGCTACAATACAGAATACTAATCCCGGCCTAAATCCTCCAAGCACTGAGTTTCCACACGCCTGCCCCCTCACAGCACTGACATGGAGACATAGCTTAGCCTTTCATCGTGTGAGCTACTCCCACTCCACACACCTGACATGCGGGGAAAGGGACGCACATATCAATTTGGTGATTTACTGAAAAGAGGCAGGGGCTGAGGGGAGAAGAGAACCACGTAAACATGGTCTCCTGCTCTCACCATTAGTTCACGCTGCGCCTCTGTTACATAACTGCCTTGCACTGTGGTTGAGCCATATATGCACTCCTCCCTGCTGCTGCTTGAAGAGAGTATCAAGCCATTTGATTGCTGGCACCGCTCATGGGCTGGCGAGAGCCAAGTTTCTCATTTCCCTCGACTCCTCTGAACACGTAGGCTGAAGCCCAGGTACTTCGGCAGCTGCATGCAGTCCTGGGAGTGGGACGAAGGCATAGTGCTAAAGCTGGATTACTCCTGGGCTCCAGGCCAGGTGGATTATCAAAGATTCATCTGTGAAGAGAAGGGAGATGAGGGATTGGCTTTCCCTCCATGGAGTTTCTCTTCTGCCTCCACAGCTTTGCCAGCATCCTGCCAGTGAGGTTGGGGCATGCAGCTCAGCCAGTGCTGGGGAGTGGTCCAGATACAGGCCGTCAGGATCTCTGCTCTGGCAGCTGCTTCTCTCTGTGTTCAGGGTAGCGATGCTGGGGGTGCTCCTACCCTGAGTCAGCCTCTAGCTATGGGCAGCACTGGCTACCTTCTGCCCTGTGCTCCTTACCCTGCAATCCCAAGTTTATTACACCAGTATCTTCTTCCCAATGGGATTTCACAGTGACGTGCTACCTCCATGTCCAAAGCCCCTTAGGCTTTGAAGTAGTAAGACCACCTACGCAAACTTTTTTTGGCCTGTGCATGTGGCGAAAGTTTATCCTAAACCAGTTCTTCAGTTAGCACAATGCCCTGTGTAAATGCCTTTATTTCAGTTCAGCTTCAAACCCGTTCCTCACTGATTGAGGCTAAACTGAAAAGATGCCCAGTTTAAACTGAAATAAGGCTCCTGTGCCGATCAAAAGCCACATGTTAGCTAAACCAATGCAGTACTGGCTGTGGACAAAGCTGCGTGTGCATGTGCCTGCCTGTGGGTATAACACATATCAGTCAGAGGTCTGATTGCAGCATACATGTATGTACCCTCCCCACAACCTTCGCTTTAAGTAGTGCAGCCACCAGCAGCTCCAGCAACACAGACTTCAGAGCAGGCTCTACAAACCCACCTGGGCTTGCATGTATGTATTTGAGAGGTGCAGTAGTGTAACTACGGTGGAGCAAGCAGGTTCTGACTAGGAGGAAGTGCCAGAATTGTCCCCACTCCATCGTCCTGCCCTCCCCCCTCGCTGCCCAGACTTTTTGTTTTTCCCTGCCTTGGATCTGGGCAGTGTAGCACCACGAATATATATTGGGGGGTGGGAACTGAAACAAGCAAAATGGTGCTCCCCCTACCTCCCCAGGGAAGCCTTTGCCAGAGCAGACACAGCCCTGTGCTCAGTATGTATGTTTTGGGGAGGTGTAGGGAGAGAATGAATGGGGCACCAGGGTTGGCTCCCAGCCCCCCACCCTCATCTACAGTGATCAGCATACTCCTGTGTGCTGCCCCCCCAGCTGCTCTGCCGAGTGCTCAGTGAGCTCACTGTGCCTCTGGGCAGTTGCCTCAGGTTCACTGCTCTGTGTACTAGATCTAGCTTGAACTTGGCTAGTTCAGGTGCATTTATATGTGCTACAGTTTCCCATATGATTGCACATATTATACCTGAATATAAGTCTAAAAGGGAAGAGGTGGAAGAGAGGATGTTGTACCATCTTGGCTGGGTGATCTAAAGCATTGCCCATGAGAGCATGCTTCATCTGAAAGTTGGGTATGATCCATAATCAATCTAATCCATTATGAATAAGAGCCCAGTTGGGATATTTAAATTTCAACCCTGCTGCAGGTGGGAAAACTGAGGCATGGAGAGGCAATGTGACCTGCCTAAGGGCTGTAGTGAAGCCAGGAAGAGTCCAGGGGCTCTGACTAGCTATCTGCATGCAGCATGATCAAGGGTGGGGGGGTGTTGCTTCTTCTCTGGGTACCTCAACCCTGCACAGACTGTATCAGCGGGCAATCCCCCTAGCTAGCAATGGTTTAGTCCCTGGGTGTCAAAGATCCAGGCCATGTCCTCTGGCCTGCAGGCTGGAAATTTGGTGGTGGGATGAGCAGCAGCTGCCATGGCTCCAGGAGCCACAGCAATGAATGCTGCTTCTGCTTTTCCCACCACATTTGCAGCCCCATGGGCCACATGGCGCAGCTCCATGCTCCAGATCCAGATCACGAGGAGACCCACACCATGGGCCACACGAATTTGATGCCCTTGTGTTAGCCCATAGAAATGAGTGCTGGATTTTAGAGCCAGCAGTAAGGCTGGGATTGAAAATTTCTCAGCTTGGCCCTTACAATAATATATTTTATGGATTATAGGTGATTCAGCTCTTTCCCAAGGTGGACCAGTGCCAGTAATTCCATTGTAGAGGAGGAAACCAAGACTCAAAACTGACTTGCCTGAGGTTTCTCAGCAGGACAGAGCTTAGGATAAAATGTGGGCTCCTGAGTCCCAACCTAAAGCCAGGTTCTTCATCTCCGTGGGCTCCCCAGACAGAAGGCAGCCTGACTTCTACATTCATAGGAAGGGACAAGCCAGACTAGTACCAGTAGTTGAGGTGTATTTAGGCCATACCCTTCCCAAACTGTTTACAGTAACCAAAGGAACCCTGTTGTGGGGGGCATCTCCCTCCTC